TCGAATCCCCGTCACACCGAACATGCTCGCCCCTTTTAGCGTGGGGGCGTTATATTGTGACGGTCAATCCCACTATTCGTTGGTAAAAGAGTAGCCCAAGAGTTGGCGGTGGGTGGTGATGACTAGCTGCCTTCCCTCTAGTCTTACACTGCTAAATTAGGGACGGTTAGCGCAGATAGCCCTCGTGTAGCTTTGCGCGAAATTCAAAAAACAAACAAACAAAACAAACATACTCATGACATAAGAAGGCTGTGTTTTCGTGTTTGCATTTAAAGTAATCACTTGAACGAAAAAAGAATTCTAGGTTTAATTTGAGGTAAAACCTTATCATTCAAAACCGTTTTCAATTGAATTGTATGATTTGTTGGATATAGCTGATTTTGCTTTCCTATAACGAAAGAAGGATTACTTTTCAACCACTGAAGTTTGTACGAACAATAGCATGAGTGTGATTATTTTTTGTGTCAAAAGGAAAGTCATTTTACATTCTGATAGGGAAGCTGAACTTTTTGGTAAAACGATTTTCACTATTAAGACAATGGTGTTGAAACGACACTTATTTGTTGCTAATTTTGCATTGTGTGTTAACTCTTTTGATAGTGACTTGTATATTTTTATTCTCAATTGCAGGCCATTTTCTAGGGAATGATACAATTTTAGATTTCATGAAAAATATTGGATATGAAATTGAACATATTCCAGCCAATAAAAAATTCACTCGGTAAGGATTTTTTTGAATTTTACTTAATTTTAGTGTAAGAATATGGTTAGAAACAATTAAGTACAGTCACTGCTATCGTCATCTATTGATTGTATACGCAACCTATATAAGTTTTGAGTGAAATGTTTGTTTTTTTGTTTGTAATTAAGCACAAAGCTACACAATGGGCTATCTGTGCTCTGCCCACCACGGGTATCGAAACCCGGATTCTAGCGATGTAAGCCACTGGGGGCTGAGTGAAACCTGCTTATACAACAAAAGTTTACACATTGTTGTTTTTATTTGTATTCAACAATTCTTTCGTTTTTATTAAGTATCATTTTACATTTCCTCACAAAATGGCGCTAATAATTTAGTACTGGAATAATTACAGTTTTGGTTTTATTTATACTTTGTTTTTGTAATAAAACTATAATAGATTGTATGATTAAATCTTTTGTTAAGTATTGTTTGTCATATTTTTTCGATACCACAAAAATTCCATGCACTTTAAGCTGTATTTGTGTTGTAAGAGCGGTGGTTAATACCTTTGCATGGGTGGAGGATGGTAGGGTGTCGCTGACTGGCTGCTTTCCCTCTGGTTAGTAGTTGAAAATTAGGGACAGCAGATATTTTTATTTTTAAAAAAGTACTTCGCAATTTTGATTTTTATAGGTGATTAGATTAGAGTAAGTTTCTTTTATACAAGTTACAACCCTATTAGGAGTTACATATGGCATCGGATTTAATAGTTGTTTAATATATGTTTTAATCAGGACAAACCTAGCCGTAATGCAATAAATTCTGGTATTAATTATCCATTTGGAATTGAACCCCTCAAAATGTGTACATATGTTTATCGTTATTTTTCAAATATGTACTAAACAAATATTTTAAGATTAATTATAATGAAATTAATAATACTTTAAAATTTATGCTGTAGTAGAACGGTTTAGCTGAATTCTGTACATTATTCTTATTAAAGAACATGCTCCAGATCGCTTGATGAATTTAATTTATCCCGAAAAGAAACTTTACTAAAGCAATTCCAAAATTTTATTAAAAAAATGTTACAATTTTTTTAGGTCTCCCTTTCTATTGGGTGTGTATCCCGTATTTTAGTAAAAACACTAGAATATCGACATTAGGCTTTAGGCTTATACATATATCTTTGTAATTCTTACTTTCCACACTCTTAGTTTGTCGGAGAAGCAAAGAGCAAATTTAAAGTCCCCCCCCCCCAGCGACTGAGCAATAAGTCTGAGTATTTATAGTGATAAAATCAGTTTTCGTGATCCACAATTGTCAGAGCACAGATAGCCCATTGTATAACTTTGCGCTTAATGACAAACAAACAAACCTAAAATATAACAGTAATTGATATATTGATAAATAAAGAGTTTCAAAAAAATCTTTTAGTTAATAATTTTTAGATATTTGTACTAAGTTAGTCACCTTTTTATGTTTGAACTGTAATAATAAAATAATCCTAAGATCAATGTTTAACTCAATCATCATCTTAGAATGTAGAGCAGCAAGTCACATGACCTTCTGTCTGATGTTAGCTAGAGAGATGTCGAGATAAATATAAAGAAGATATGAATTCTCAACGGCGATGGTTTTAAAAAGTCAAACAATATTACAGCTTTCCAATAACGGAAACAGATGCTCGCTGAGTTTGTCTGTTTTCATATATTCACGCAAACTCAAAGGCTATATGAGCTAGACGTCTCTAATTTTGAACTGACTAGAGAGAAGGCAAATAGTTAATAGCAACCACTGTCAAATCTTGGCCTGCTCTTGCCTGAGCGAATAGTGGGACTTAACAGTCATCCTTATAACGCATCCACAGCCCCACAATGCAGAGCGTAATATTTGTTATTGTGGTAACAGGACGAGAAGATCGACCCGCAGATTTATATTCTGGAAGACTAACCACTAACCACATATGTCGCAAAATATTGCATTTTGAGTATCTTAAATCTTACACAAAAAAATTTCAGGAACTGCTACAAAATTGTGTAAGACTGTCCCCAAAAATCCGTGTCGTCTGGTCATCTTTCATTAAAGTCATAATCTGTTCACGTTTTTTTAGATGGTGCCATTAAATTTCACAAATTATATGATTAAATAAATTTGTTTGTTAGTTTATTTGAAGTTAAGCACAAAGCTACACAATGGGCTATCTGTGATCTGCCCACCACAGGTATCGAAACCCGGTTTCTAGCGTTGTAAGTCCGCAGACATACCGCTGTGCCACTGGGGGGCTGATTAAAGGAAAAAAAAGCGTAAAAGCAAGCACTTTTGTCCTTGTAGTCTGAAGACACAAAAATAAAGTAGCAAATGTTTTTGTATGGTTTCCTTAAGATTTAACTTGCATTCCAATAGATAGACGTCACTGGGGAAAAAATGCTAATTTCTGACTATAATCATGTGTTTTCAAGTTTTATATAATTTTGTATTGCAGGTTAATAATAATTTATGAAAAGTAAGAAAATTATATAGACCAGAATTATAATAATTTAAAATAACGTACATTAATGAAGGTATGACATTTATTATCATACATTGGTAACACCTTGCGCTTTACATTTTTTGAATGAGTGCAAAATAGGCGGTTTAACCAGAAACACATACCCCTAATTTTGACTCGGTAACGAAATACCCTTTTAAATTGGGAATAGAGACTTGTCTATAATTATCATTGAAATTCATTGTTTCAGTATTGAATTCAATAGTCCCAGTTAATACAGAAAATAAGGTTCCCCCAATCGTAGGAGCTCCCAATGCCCCAAATTCAAGTATGTTTCGCCGCCTATGGATTGCAAAACTAAGCTGTTGCCAATAATCATGTAAACTTATTATATGGGAGTTTTATTCGAAAGGTTTAAGTTACTTTGAACATAACTTATTAGGGTGGACAGCTTTTGTGTGAATATATGTTATGTATGTGTATGCATGTGTTTTAGGGGGAGGAATCATGGGAGCAAGGAAAGTCACTGGTTATGGGTTCAAGTGCCCCACACGCCAGGATTCAGCAGTAAGTTCAAGCTATTGGATAACGAGGAGGCTAAGAATGCCAACGGTTTTCAAATTTCAAACAGAGATCAGCCACAACACGGAGACAACAATCGCCAGTCTGACCTGCACTGGGAAAGTATTAGATTGCAGCGAACAACTCATAAACCTTCTACATTAAAGCCAAGAGAAAAATTCAAGGACTTATGGGTCAGACTGGATACTATGACAACCAGGTGAGAAGGATTATCAACAGTGAAGTCTGACAGAAAAAACGAGTAACGTAATATTCGAGTGTTTCAAAGATTAATTTGCAGACACGCTGCGACTGAGTTCTCAACTAGAATAAGTGTTGAAATAAATCAAGTATTTGGAAAACAAGCTAATTTGTTTTAATCCAATAATTCATGAACTATATATTTTTCTGTAATGAAGACATTTTACAAAAATGTTTCAAACTCGCAAATTAATTAACGCACGTACTTATAAAACCTATGAACCTCTGAAGTTCTTGACGCTTTCGAATTAGAACTTTTTAGAAATAAAAGAAATGTTTTTGTTTACAAGGAATGATGAAATGAATACACGGTTAGTTAAATGACGAAGTTCACAAACACGTCATTATACAAGAGTTTAAAAATGACGTTAAGTAAATGTTGCCTGAACACAAAGCTACACCTTGAGCTATCTGAGCTCTTTCGACGGCAGAAAGCGACCTCCCGTCTTTTAGCTAAGTCAGTAAAGTTTCTGCTGACTCACCGGGGAACCGTTAAATAATTTATAAACATTAAATATTACAGGTATTCTTTAAACACGTAATTAAAATGAACTACACTACAAAAATGGTAGGGCACATTTATATACTTTTAAAGTAAAAAAAAACAATAACAAGAAGGAATTCTCAATAGCCGCGGCACTTGAAATTCTTCTAGGCAGAATTAAAATAAATTAATCAATGAGACCTTTTTCTCCTTTTTATTAGATATTTTTTTATGCGCATATTCCCGATTCTGTTTTATTGTTCATCAGGATCTCTACCAGCCTACCCTCAAATTGAAATTCTTTTAGACAGGATTGGAGTAAATTAATCTATGATACATTGGTATGTTCAGGTACATCAATCGAAAGGGTTTGACCTCTAGAGTCCAAAATTCTAATCTGTTTGTATAGATAGGTAGACAGTTACGACGTCCAATGTAAAGAGTGTTGTTGTGTTTGTCACTAATTGAGGTACTTTATGCATACTATTTTGGTGCCATTACTAAATTACGTTTCAGCACATTTAAATAATACACAAGACCAGCTATTTCGAATCAAGGATTTACCTCACTTAGTGACCAACACAACAATACTCTTTACGTTGGACGTCGTAGCTCTTTACCAATCTATACAAACAGAGGATGGCATCAATGTGATATGTGACTTCATGTCGAATCACATAAACAATTTGGAGATGTACGGACTGACAATGGGCACTGTCAGAGAAATCTTACATTTCATCCTTCACAATGGATATTTTCGTTTTGACAACAAACTATATCTCCAACTCTGTGGTGTCTCAATGGGTAATAGAGTGGCTCTTATTTATGCCGTGATATTTATGCACGTTTTGAAACAACGGCACTTGACAACTGGCGTCAAGATACCAACACCGGCCCTTAGATACATCGATGACGTGTTTGGACTATGGAACCACGATCTTCCTTCTTTAATACAATTTTTAGACTATCTAAGTTCCATATACCCAACATCCAATTCACCTTGAATCATTCGAATGACAAGAAAAACCTATAATAGATGTTCTTGACGTTACCTTAAGGATCGACAACAATATACAATCTACCTTGTTTAACAATACAATTAGAAAACCTGTCTTCCTTAACTTCAACTCCCAGCATCCAAAAGCTTCCAAAAAACGTGCAATTATTGGAGAATTAAACAGAATCAATCGCAACTGTAGTGAAAAAAAAGAACTAAAATCACTTCTTCTGGGCAACGAATATCCACCTTTTTACAACTTTTCAAGGACTATGACGCGCAAAAATCAGCACCGCACTTCCAACATGAGCAAACACAGATAAACAAGGAGAGAAAAAAACTTCCAACGTGAGAAAACACAGAAAAACGAGGAGGAAAAAAACTGATTTTCCAAAGATAACACAAAAAAGGTTATTTTATAACACCTTTAATTGACGATGCTATCACCAAGAAAATATAAACTATAATCAGGGGCCCCAGTGGCACAGCGGTATGTCTGCGGACTTACAACGCTAGAATCCGGGTTTCGATACCCGTGGTGGGAAGAGCACAGATAACCCATTGTATAGTTTTGTGCTTAATTGCAAACTGCTGATTAAAGTTATAAAACGGCCATGTCCAACCCTAAAAAGCCAACTTTCAAAATCTCATTACACTGCCCTACAATGTAATAAAGCCAACTGTTTTACAAAAACGTGTTTGCAATCTAAATATGAGCGTCTTGTCTCCAGTGTTGTTTACCAGCTTATATGTAACATCAGCCATCATAAGTAAATAGGAGAAACCGGAAGAATCTTACACACAAGGATAGTAGAACAGATAGCAGTTGCAGATCATTTTTTTAACTAATCATGCACAAGTAACGCCTGACTTGAAACCACCATTCTCCGTACTAATCCTCACCAAAACCTGACAGAAAATTCAAAGAAACGCTTCTCATCGAACAACTACAACCAAAAGCATGCTGTACAAATGTATATTATAGATTCGAATATAATTTATTATTTAAACCATTTGAAGCTTTGTACTGTCAGTTTCAGTTTGTATTCTAGTTAACGCTCTTAAAGAAGCAGTAAAGCTAAAGGTTGAGTGTCTAATTAAATAAAAACAGCATTTTGGTGTTATAATGTCATTTATTTCTAGTATTAATAATGATAATCTAATCGGTCCAATAGAATTTTAAGCATTTTTCATATTTTACCTTGTCATCAATATTGCATTTCTATACATTTTTCCTAACACCATAGTCACGTTTTCGTCCCGTGAAAAGTATGTTCGTTACTTCAATCTTTCAGATAGAGCCTCTAGCTTTCTGGGAATCCTGATCCATTTTTAAACATTATGAAAAATCCTTATAACTTTTGAAACAAAAAAAGGTTCCTAAAATATGTGAATGGCAGGATCGATCTAATGAAGTGTGAAGAATATTAATATTTCAATTAAGAAATACTTTACCTTTTGATCACTATTAAAATATTAATCTTAAGACACATTATTTTATTGTTTGTAATAAGAGAGTGTACATTTCAAGAGTGATTAAAGTAACTGTTGTTTTTAATTACAGAATTTTGTTTAATGTTACACGTATATACACACATATATCTGCAATTGATTGTTTGTTTGTAATTAAGCACAAAGCTACACAATGGGCTATCTGTGCTCTGCTCACCACTGGTATCGAAACCCGGATTCTAGCGTTGTAAGTCAGAAGACATACCGCTGTCCCACTGGAGGGCCTGCAATTGATAAAATGGAATTAACATATATATATATATATACATATATATTCTTGGAGTGGATCATTTAAGCTTTAAAAGGCCCGATTAGAATCCATGGAGTTAGAATTTTTGTGAAGAACCGATTAGAAATTTTGCAATTTCGGGCCCTTGATATAATATACTGATAAATGTAAAATACTGCATTGTGAAATACATAAGATTGGTTTAGTTTAAATATTTTGCAAACCTTCTCTAGCGCAATCTGCAGTAGCCGTCCCTAATTTAGCAGTGATAGACAAGTGGGATTGTTCGTGACATTATACCGTTCTCACAGCTGAAAGGCGGAGCATGTTCGGTGGCGAAGATTCGAATCCGTAACCCGCAGATTGCGAGTCAAGCGACCCAACTACCAGGCCATGCCAAACCAACACATAAGAAGGTTTGTGATGTAAGCTATGCTATTGCACTGGTGGCTTGCTTGTTTATTGTTAAGCGTAAAACTGAACATTTGACTATCTTTACAGTGCCCACTGAAGATATCGAACCTCGAATTTTGGTATTATAAACCTTCAAACTGAGTTACTGGAAGGCAACATTAATGGCAAGAGAACATGATGGATATTCACAATTACGCAAATTTTCAGTTCATATGTATCAATATGCTTGCTAGTTTCCCATGGCAAAGGTGATTCTGTCTTAAAAGAGAGCGGAGTATTTGTACTGGCACATCAGCTACTGTATTTTCTTATTACAAAATAGAAGGCTATTTAGCTGTTATTTCTCTAAAAACGTAAGAAGCGTATGCTACTTTGCTTTAGTTTTACTATTTAATCGAATATTCTACTGTACAACTCTATCATTTCTCATATCAATTTATCAAAGGATATTATATTCTACCTTAGTTTTACTATACTTTTTATGTAGTGTAAGCAGAAAAATCCCAATTTTTCCGTCACAGGATTGTCCCCTTTACTAAATTGAAATATATTACAACGTGTTTTCAAATTTAAGACAGTTATAAAGCCTCACTACAAGTTAAAAGTATTTATCTATATATAAAGACGAAATGTTTGTTTGTTTGCACAATCACTCCTCTGAGCCTATTTGTATGTGAACATTATGAACTAACGAGACTGTCTTAAGAGGATCAAAATTGAACTTAACCCTATTTCTAATTTGTAAAGCCTGTTGGTTAATTACTCACAGCCTATTGAGTCAATCTCACACAATCTTGGCAGGTTGACGCTTTAGACAATGTTGAATATTCTAAAAGGATTCAAGGTCAAAGGATAAAAGTTACTGAATTGTTTCTCTAATAACCATGCTTTTCTCATTGTCAATGAGATGTAGGGTGTTCAAGGATGGGATCACCTCAAAATCTGTATTTGTTGGTAGATGAAAAGCAAACTGCAAATGTTGTTTATGAAGAAACTTTGATATAATTTTAAAAGTTTGAGATAAAGTTTACGTTCAAGTTATCACTTTGAAATGTATGATTGCTGTTAAACTTATATTGTTTTAATTAAGTTTAAACATTCCCCGGTCGGGAATTTCAGCTTATTATCACAATAAATCCATTAATTACAAAACATCTATAAAAAACGAAATAATAAACCAAATAAGTATTTACCAGACATATGAAAACGATGGGACATTCTGGATAATAGTAAAGTCTTATTTTAAGCCTTATTATAATTGAATTATATTACACAATTTTGTCATGGCACTTTTTACTAACTATGAAACGTTCAAAGCATTTT